TGCTGCGTCATGAATGAATGAAAAAAGTAATGTATCGGGAGTTCCAGCACTAATGGTCCTTAATCCGGTTTCCAACTTGTTGGGGCCCCTAAACCCTAAACCCAAACCGGAGTTTACTGCAGACTCTAGGCCTTCACGCTATGATTCCCGTAATGGTAGCTGGAACCTTATACCAATTTCTGAACCTGAAGACCCTAAACACTCGATCCCGAACCCCAAAACCTAAACCCTAAACCCCAAAACCCTAAACCCCAAAACCCTAAACCCTAAACTCCAAAACCCTAAACCCCAAAACCCTAAACTAAAGCCCCCCAGTCCTTCCTTAAGAGAGCCAAGTGGCCACCAGCCAACCTGTGGTGGCACAGAAAATGTCGCGGCTTCGCCGAACTTGCCGTAGGCAGTGGAGGACGTCATCTTCCCAGGGTAGGGTTTAGGGTTTAGGGTTTAGGGTTTAGGGTTTAGGGTTGAGGCAGTGGAGGACGTCATCTTCCCAGGGAAAGGGTAGCAACTGGGCTTTGAAGTAACCAGGGAGAAAAAAGTATAGAGTTGTATTTCATAATGGCTCTTTTAAGGAAGAGGTCCCCCAAAAAAAGCATTAAAGTATGGTACTCCAAAGCCCAGGCGAGGATAGGTTAAGTGGGGCAGTTCTGGCTTGGGTGGGGAAGGGTGGGAGGGTCGGTTGGGGACTGGTGAGGCGGGGTGGGGTAGGGCAAGGTTTAGGGCGTGGGCGGGTTGAGAGCATGGGCAAAGAAGGAAGTTTAGCGTAGCTTACTGTGATTCGGATTTCACGTTTGAGGTTGGGGCCTGGGATCTTCTCTTCAGACGCCGACTATCCGCAAAATTCTTTCAGCATGTAGATCCTTAGTTAAGGGATTATACATACATGTTATATATATATATATATGTGTATATTTATACTTATAATACATACATACGTACATTCGTACATACATACATACATACATACATACATACATACATACATACATACATACATACATACATACATACATACGTACATATAGAGAAAGAGGGAGGGAGAGATAGGAGAGAGCGAGAGACACGGAGTGCCAGAAATGCTCTAAGCCCTTTAGAGCCCTCCTCCCGGTAACCGAAAACCGAAAAACAATCCTAGACCAGATACCTTCACAGACGGGCCTACTTGACTGGAAGAGTGCTTGCGAGTACCTGACTTCTTTCTGCACACGGATTTACGTGCAAGCATACATTCGAAGATATACGCAGCTGCTCGTGTCTTTACAATATGAGCATCTATTTAGATAGGCAGGTTACTGACCCTTCAAAAATCATGCATGCATGCAAAAATATGTACACCTGACCATATACATGCATACATACAATACATGCCGTTCCTTTCCGTTTCGTTCCGTTGCATTGATGGGCTTAGCATGGCATTGCGCCGCATTACATTACTTTGCACCACACCCCGTTCACTACATTGCTTCACGATCACGACGAGGCATGGTTGCATGCATGCACACATACAGCATACTTGCAGACTGACAGACAAACAGACCGACAGACAGCCAGTTAGGCAGACAGGACAGACAGACAGCCAGGCAACCAGACAGAGACACAAACAAACATAGGTATTCTGCATATGCTTGGGTACACACGAATGGAGCATGACTACTTACATGGATGATATTTCCCACAAAATCTGAAACCACCGAAGTTCCTACCGTGAAATGTGAAATCAAATCCTCCAGCTTCTGAGCATTACTCAACCTTGGCGCCCTGAACGTTAGGTGGACGATCAGGAGAGTCAGCAAAGGGTCAAGACGAAAATCGCGCTGGGGCGCGTGCAAAGCCAAGCATAGCCTACTTGCCGAAGCTCGAGGTCGCCCCAGGTAAACTATCCGAAACCTTTAGGGTTTTAGGGTTTAGGGATAAGTAAACTATCCGAAACCTTTAGGGTTTTAGGGTTTAGAGATTTAAGGGTTTAGGTTTAGGGTTTAAGGTTTAGGGTTTTGGAAGCCTAGTACTCAATTACAAAGCTTGTTCCTCAGTTCATTATTACTACTATGACGATTATATTTGAAAGGAGCCCCAAACCCTATTCTAATCAATAGGATCCGTCCAGTAAAACTATCCGAAAGCCTCTCCGATTTTCTCCGAAATCCGAAACCCTCCATTCCAAGAGCTACATTCTGAGGGTTCCTTTCTATATATATATATATATTTATTTATTTATTTATGAAACTCCATCAACCAAATGGGTCTTCCGGTTTATAAATACACCCGGACCGGACAGGATTCAGGATTTTAGGGTTTAGGCCGAGGCCCTAGGCTATAAGGTTTGCGGTTAAGGGCTCCCCAAGCCATGACCCTGCAACATAAGTCTGAACCGCTCTATCGGATCAAATGCCACCTCAGTGAAGCAGGTGATCAGCACCACACAGACCGCCCATACACAAACAAGGGTATACCTTGCGAGGCACCCTAAACCCTAAACCCTAAACCCTAAACCCTAACCCCTCTCAGGCCGAGAGTTCAGGATTTGGGATTCAGGGCTACCCAAAAAGGGTCCTAAGTAAGGGTATGGGGGATACCAGGACCCCCCAAGGGCCCTTTAATGGAGCCCTTATGGCTCTTAATAGTGGGCATTTAGGGTATATTAGAAGGTAGTTGGGGGGTCTAGATATTTCCCGAAGTCATGATCGTAATCCCCAAGAAAGCATAGCCCTATGTTCTACTACACAGGTACTTAGGACCCTGTGTGTTAGGGTTTAGGGCTTCGGGGTTCGTCTCATGTCATGGTTCAGGGTATGGTGCAGGGGAAGACTTACTCTGGGAGTTTCTGGGGTTCTAAGTGGGTAGTTCTCTAAATTAGGGTCCCTTTTTGGGTCCCCAATATAGTACGGCACCCTTATAAAAGGACCCTAAAAGGGACCCTAATTTAGAGAACTACCCACGTGTTGGGGTTGTGCTGCGTGCTTTGAGTGTAGGGAAGAGGGCCCACCTGTAGTCTCCATTGTAGTTCCTTTTTTTGGTTGAACTGTTCTTATATCTAGGACCCTGAAGGGTAACACCAAAAAGGAACTGCAATGGAGTCTACAGGTAGGTTCTGAAAACGGCTGCCGAGATATCAAAGGGTTTAGGATTTAGGGCGTTGCAAGTGTAGTACAGCTCCTTCTGACTTTCAGCTTCTGCGACCTGCACATGCACAAACACGAAACCCCAGATATCGAGAATCAGAATATCCAATAACTGAACAAGGGCGCGGGGGAGTCGCATTTGAGCTTAAGCCTAAACCCTAAACCCACGACTTACCCATCTCGCAGGATTCTGAATGTATCTGGGCACTTTCGCTCCTTCTTCCGTTCTACCTATATACCTATCGCGCCTTAGCTCCCCCGATGCCAGCATTTTTTGTGATTTCATGCTGGAGCTGTGGCCTGTAGTCTAGGACTCAATGCTCTGTGTTTTGCTGGGTTCTTGTTAAGGGATTTAATTTAAGTTACCATAATAGGGATCTATAGTAAATAATATGGTTTCCTTATTATGGTAACTTAAATTAAATCCCTTAACAAGAACCCAGTTTGGGATGCAAGGTTCAGCATGAAGGTTGAGCACAGTTGGCGCTGCGGGGCTCTGGGGTAAGATCTCTAAGAGATTCGGAATGCAAGCTCGTCGGAGCTGGTGATACATGCCTGACTTCACAGAGCGCGTTCTCTACGTTGAAGTTTTGCGACGGCTGGACCCCAAGTCTACATCGACAGGTGGTCCTGTCGGGGTGAATTTCCAGTCTAACTACACTAGAGGCTAGTTGGGTGTCGAGGCAAGCCGCGTAAACCTATTGCGCCAAATGCTAAAGCCGTAAACCTTAAACTCACAGCCCTATAAATCTAAATCCTGCAGCCACAGTGACTCACCCGCGTTGCGCACACCAAGGATGCCAACCCATTCTGTCAGCCGGTCGGTTGCGTACAGAAGCGCGCGGGTGAAGAAAGAGCCACAGCGGCGTTGGCGTTTCTCAAATGACTTTTTGCGCAGCAGCTTTCTGGCTGGAGAGCCCTCTGCCGTTGGACTGTCCGGACCTTTGCCAGCAAGTGCTTTGTCTTTGGGTTGGGAATTCTGGTAGGGTCATGCCCTTGATTCGGTGGCAATAGCTTCTCTCATCTAACTGCTTGGATTTGTGGGGGTTGGGGCATACCTGGACAGGACCGTCAACTGCGGCGCCTTATCTTGGTTACCTGGTTTCTTGATTTATGAGTAAAGTCATGTTTGTCTACTTAGCATCAGAAAGGAAACAACATGGACAGTTCTCTGAATTAGGGCCCCCGTTTAGGTCCCCAATAAAGTACGGCACCCTTATACAAAGGGCCCCAGAAGTGGGATCCTCATGTAGAAAACTACCCACATGATGTGGAAGTGCCAGTATTTGTAGCAAACTCTTTAAATAGACCCAAGACTACAACTCAACAACTCACAAAACAAGGGCGGCAACCCAAATAGATCTTAGACCCCAAAGTAAAGACTGTACTCTGGACTTTGAAGTAGCGAAGGGATTTTAGGGTTTAGGGTTTAGGGTTCTTAATGGTTTCTTTATGGAGCAAGTCGCCAAAAAAAAACATTCAAGTATAGCCCTAAGGCTCAAAATAGCCCAAAAGCCTTACATAGTATGGTCTTTGGGCCCAAAAGCCTTGTAATATTAGTCCCTAAACCCTAAACCCTAAACCCTAAACCCTAAACCCTAAACCCTAAACCCTTAGAGCCTTAGGGTAGTACAGAACCCAGAGAGGTACTGTGGCAAACCCTGAGACAACCTCGGAAGGCCTCGGGCCTTGCTGCCTTGGGTTCTTGTTAGGGTTTAGGGTTTAGGGTTTAGGGTTTAGGGTTTTTTTTTAAAGCACCTTTTTCCTCCTGCTGTTAGGGTTTAGGGTTTAGGGTTTAGGGTTTAGGGTAGGAAGATCTTAGCCGCGATAGGGAGCTATGGGAATAATCGAATTTAGGGGCCTTAACAAGTACAGTAGGTTTTTGGCCTCCTTTATAGTATAATCATTGCAATAAGGACCTCCCAAAAGAATATTGTTAATTACTTTCGCTTCTACATTAGTTTCATATAGTTTCCTTACCCCTTTTGAATAACTTGAATGTGCACTCTGAAGCTTCCCCCAAACCCTCCTAAACCCTAAACCCTAAACCCGAACCCCTAACCCCTAAACCCTAAACCAAACCCCAGTTAAACAAGAAAGAACCCATTAAAGGCTGCCTTCGTCGTGGTAACTTTCGCGAAACCCTATAGGACTCCAAAATTCCCAAAGCCTTGGTCCCCTAAGGTCCTGGGTCGTTTAGGGTTTAGGGTTATTTAGAGTCGTTTAGGGTTTAAGGTTGATTAGGGTTTAGGGGTTTAGGGCTGTAGGCTTTAGTGGTTTAAGGTTTCGGGTTTAGGGTTTTAGGGTTTTGAGGCTTAGGGGGCTTATTTGGGAGGTTTGTTTCTAGCCCCAAACCCCGTATGGTCCGGTCTGGTAGCTATTATGACCTCTTAACTCGTCACAGAGCAAGACTTACAAGCAGCAACAACAACTATGGAATAGTGGGTTCTGACCCCTGATTGCAGGGTACAACCCTTCAAAAGCCAGGCTGTTGGATCTACATCATTCCCTAAACCCTAAACTCCAAACCCCTAAGCCCTAAACCCTAAACCCTTAAACCCTAAACCCTTAAACCCTAAACCCCTAAACCCTAAACCCCTAAACCCTAAACCCTTATAAACCCTAAACTCGAAGTGAAGACACCTCGCAGCGTCGGAGCGCTTCGACGCCGCATGGCAATCCTAAATCTACGACGTCGGGCCTTCTTGACCCAGACGGTTTAGGACCCTAAACCCTAAACCCTACACCCTTCTTGACCCGGAAGGTTTAGGATCTGGGGGTCTATAGGGTTTAGGGTGTGATGCAGGGTCCTTATCTATTAGCACAGGGTTTGGGAATGGTACACAATGGAATATGGAACATCACCATTGGATGAACGAGATTCTGGCGGCTGAGTTGGCCGTCCGGTATCAAACATTCGGCTTGAGTCAAAAGCGCTAACAGGGTCACCTGCTTTTCGTATTCTTAGATTTGTGCCAGTGTCTTCTGGTTGTTTAGGTTTTATAGTTTAGGGTTTATAGTATAGCGTTTAGGCTCTATAGTAAAGGGTTTAGGGTTTGGGACATAGGCAGGGTACAGTTTGCGGCTCTTCGCTGACATGATATGTGCGGCCTAGTGCAACGAGGACCGTCACAGGGAGATCATGTGGAAGATTCCGCCCATAACAAGCACGAGCAACAAGATTATTCAGCAATTCGATAACGCCCCATGTTGTTCTTGTCCTTAAAACTCGTTCAGAGAGACCTATCCATGGGAACGCAGCCGGGAAACTGAATACAGGGTTACTAATATTCTGCACACATGATAGCATAGCACTAAATGCTGCCATATTTTTATCACTCGAATGATGGGTACGAGTAATTGCAAACCCTGGAATTGATTGATGGATGGCTAGTTGCCTTAGTTCATAACCCCCTAAACCCTCAACTCTGAACCCTCAGCCCTGGCATCGGTTTTGTTCAGACAATCAAACTCGGATGTAGGGCTAAGCATTTGGCAGCAGCAACAACAACAACAGTATCAAACAGCAAAAAGTAATGGTGGCAATCGCAGCAGCAGTTGTTGCTGGTGTGGTTGTCGTTGTTACATCAGGGGTGCAGGTCCCTGCACGCTGAGCCAGTGTTCTGTCTCCGTCTCGAGAATTTCAGCAGGTCTCCTTTTGCCGACTCGGATCACGTCACTTGCGCTGAGCCAGCTTCAGAATCGTTTCGCGCATTCGACTTCGCATGGCCGTAGCTTGGCCTGAGATGCCCAAGGAGCAAATGTGACCAACCCAAACATGGCAGTCAGAACGGAATTCCTCCTGCAGGTTCGGGTTTACAATGTGTAAATTCCCAGGGTCACCGCAGAATCCCAAAACCGAATTGGGCCAGATCCCAAAAGAGAGGTACCATGGTGACTGTGGGGACCGTAGGAAGATCACGGGACTTGGGAACCAGGCTTTGACTGAGGTCGTTAAACGCACGCTTGAGGGTTGAGAGTTTAGGGTTTAGGGTTTGGCGTTTAGGGTTGGGATTGCTCCCTTAAGTTTGTAATCCTTCCACTACGCGCAAACTTGCACTGACCCCAGAAATCTTTCAACACACCGCAGAAATTAGGTGAATATTCCTTGTAGTCACAGTTATCACAGACTAGTCGTAATGGCACTTTGAACCCCGCTTAGACTCCAATAATAAGAACCCTAATTAAGCTCCTAGAGCCCTAGCTAAATCCCAAACAGTAGCGTGTGCAACTTAGGCTGTTGCTGCAAGAGGATAGACCCAACGCATCCTTAAACCCCAAACCCTATAGACCCAAAGGACCCGAAGACCTCAACACACCGAACCCTAAAACTTCGAAAAGTCTTGAACTCTAAACTCCCTGACCCCTACACCCACAACTCCGAGCTTGGGTTCAGGGTTATAGGGTTTAGGGCCTATCCAAACCCAAATACCCTCCAAACCCCGAACCTGACCTCCGACTTTGCAGCAGAGTTGCCCTGGGACACGTCGGCCGGATCTTGGCCACGCGCCAAGGCTTCCGCAAAAAGCCTGCTGCGGAGTATAGGTCTTGTAGGCTGTAGGTGTGTCTGTGTGTGGGTATAGAGAGACAGACAGACAGAGAGAGACAGAGAGAGAAAGAGAGAGCGAGATAGAGAGAAGGAGAGAGAGAAGGAGAGAGAGAAGGAGAGAGCGAGAGGGAGGAGGGAGGGAGAGGGAGGGAGAGAAAAAACAAGTAGGCATTGGGGTTTTGAGGCCTTTTGAGTTTTACAAAACCGTAATCTCTTGCGCCCGAAGGCCCCCCAAAGCGTGAACCACTAAGCCTACACGGCCAAACCCGGTCCCGCAAGACGACCCAATCCTGAACCCTGAACGCTGTAAGCCGCAGGGTTCAAGCCGTATGTAAACCCCCCATGAGTCTCCATGAAACCACTCCCCGAAACCCAAACCCTAAACCATCTTATACCCCCCAAACCCTAAACCCCAAACCCTAAACCCTAAACCCTAAACCCTAAACATCCTAACCCCAAACCCTAAACCCGGAAGCCCCGACCCTAAGCACCAAATCCCTCGGCCCAGCCACAAGGAAAAGACTCCACAGTCGCAAGCATTTCCTTGCCTCGGCCAGCCGGGGCTTGGAAATGTGGAGTTTAGGGTTTAGGGTTTAGGGTTTAGGGTTTAGGGTTTAGGGTTTAGGTCTAGTGCCGGGCTTTGGCGGCTTGTGGAAGTTAGGGCTACTTTAGGGTCTGTCTAGGCCAAGTAGAACCCTCAACCCTAAACCCCTGAAGCCCTAAACCCCCAAACCCTAAACCCCTACACCCAAAACCCACAACCCAAAACCCAAAACTCTAAACCCTAAACCCTAAACCCTAAGTCACAGGTCCTGAACTTGGCCACCCAAAGCTCAAGGTCAAGCCCAAGAGCTCAACAGTCCAACGGTTTAGGGTTTAGGGGTTTAGGGTTTATGGTTTAGGGTTGAGTGTTTGTGACAATGAAAGTAATAAGGAGGAAAAATGGTATTAATCACTACCATAGAAAAGGAGGAGTAATAGCAATAAGAAGACAAGAATACTACCAGTAATAACATATGATTTCGGCGCTGAGGACAACCCCACAACCCTAAACCTTGAACGCTAAGGGTCTTCATTTTCAAAACTCAAAGATTCCAAAACCCCGGGGAGCTTAAACGATATTCCTTAAATCCTAAACCGTCAACCCTACTTCTTCTTGGGTCAGCGAGCCCCCAACATCCCAGAGACCTGCATCTTGTGCAGTCCTTATCGTGCAAACCTAGTATATTTTCCTAAAACAACCGTGGGCTTGTTGGGGCCATAGGTGTTCTTCCACTGGGGGTGGTAGGCTCTCTTTGAGGTTGCTTGCAGCCAGGAGTCTTCCCAGCCTCTCGCTGGCGAAGTCCCTGAAACCTCTGCAGAAGCCGGGGCTTTGGGCTTTAAAGGATACCTT